GAGGGGGAGGAGGAGGAGGAGAGAAGAAGATAAAGAAGAAGAAGATGATAGGGGGAGGAGCAGCAGTGAAGAACTCGAAGAAGAAGAAGAAAAGAAGAACTACAAGAAGAAGAAGAAGAAGAAGAAGAAGAAGAAGAAGAAGATGATGAGAGGGGGAGGAGTAGGAGACAAGAGGCGGAAGAATGATCGGAGAAGGAGCAGAGAGTAGAAGAAGAAGAAGACGAGGACGACGAAGCAGAAGAAGAAGATGACGAGCGGAGCAGTTCTTTTTTTCTTTTTCTTACCTGTCGTTTATCTCGCAACCTATCACTAACGAATGTAAAAAAAAAAGAAGAAAAAGAAGATCGTCGGAAGAGGAGGAAGAGAGAAGAATAAGAAGAAGAAGATGAGGGGGAGGACGACTACGAGAGATGATGAAGAAGAAGAAGAACAAGATGAGAGGGGGAGGAGGAGCAGGAGTGAAGAAGTCGTGGAAGAAGAAGAGCAGAAGAAGAAGAAGAAGAAGAAGAAGAAGAGAGGGGGAGGAGGAGGACGAGAGAAGAAGAAGCAGAAGAATGAGCGGAGGAGGAGGAGGAGGGAAGAAGGAGACGAAGAAGAAGAAGAAGAAGAAGAAGAAGAAGAAGAAGAAGAAGACCGGCACTCCACGTCGTCGGGCGGCAGGGGATGTCGGCAGGCAGGAGCACCACGATCGACAACACTGGCGACGGGCGACGGGCGAGTGAAGCTCCCAGGCGATGGCGACGAGGGCAGCTACTTCGACGAGGGGCAGCAGCACGAACGCAGGCGGCTGGAGCAGGTTTCGAGGCCCCGTTTGGACAGCCAATGCAGGCCGCCCCAGCCAGTTGCTAGTTCAAACGGGGCCTCCGTTTCCCTCCAAAAACGAGCGGCCCTCTGGCCGTCGATCATGGATGATCGATGGCTAGAGGGCCGTCCCAAATTCAAAAAAAAAAACAGGCCTCACAGGCCTGACGCGCCGTTTTCTCGGTGTGGTCGGACCCGGTAGGCCCTGGGGAGGCCAAAACCACCCGATGTGGGGTCGGAAACCCCCCACCAACAAGGTGTGCTGGGGGGGCCCGGCCCCCAACCGGGCCGCCCGAGACCTCCCCCGGGCGGGCGCCGGTCGGCCGGGCGGCCCGGATCCGTACTCAGATATAATATAATAATGTATTCTAATTTCTAGGTTTGGTTTGTTAAATCATTGTTCCTTCCGTCTGTAATACGGCCAACAACTCCAAATGAAGGAGCTGTTAATTTCTTGAGAGGGACTGCCTCCGGCCCGGGCCGAACATGATGGCCCGATCAGCCGAAGGTTCGGACCCCGCCCAGCGAATGTTCGGGCCGAACGTCGGCCTCTTTTTTTTTCTTTTTCTGGTGGGGGGTAGTGGCGGAAGATGTGGATTTTATCATAGATAATTTAAGAAAAAGAACAAATATATATACAGGGGCAGGGGCGAATAAATACCCCGCGGCAACCCCCCTCCCCCCCTTCTCCTGCGCTGTGTGTGTGTGTGTGTGTGTGTGTGTGTGCATTAAGTGTGTGTGTGTGTGTGTAATCAATCAATATACATAAAAAAGTTCCAAAAAAAAAGGAAAACGTGTGGTGCATGCATGTGTGCCTCTGTGTGTGTGTGTGTGTGTGTGTGTGTGTATGCACGAGGGGGGGGCAAACTCCCTCCAACCAATCAATCAATCAATCTAGAAGAGTAAAAAAAAAAAAAAACGCACGGCGCACACGCGCTCTGCCATGCCCCCACCGCTTCCAAGGCTAGGTTCGGTGTCCCTCCCCAGGCCTAGTGCAGTGGGTTAGTGGACTGGCAGGCTGTCACGTAGGATTTAGGTAAAATAGAAGTGAGATAGGTGTGTGTCCAAATTAGGCTCTGTCACTCTCAATAGTATTGTGCCAGCGGCGGCACGGCTTATAGAGCGAGGCCTTTGATTTTGTCGCCTGCGCTTGACCCAGTGTAAAGGCCAGATTCAAAATCACCAGAGTCCCTATCACCGAGGAGTCCTTGGGTGGCTTTGAGTGACCTATATATTGGAGAAAGAGAGAATAGCAAGTCACATCATGTCTCATAGAACAAAGAACACATGTGAGACGAAGAGACCAGAAGCCAGACTTTGCAAGACCATGACCAGAGACCAGACTGAAGAGTAGTACACAA